TGTTAAGGTGTGTTCATGTGTGTGCTAGTGTTCATGTTTAGGAAAAAATAAACCCAAGTGTGTCTGTGTGTGTTTGGATGTGGGTGGATGTGCTTGGGCAAACCTTTTGTGTTGAGCAGAAGGGCATTTGTATGGGTTTGTGTATGTGTTGAATAGATTTTTCTGATTAGGCTGTGCTACACAAGCCTCAGGAACTAACACCATGTTTATAGTTCTTGCTCTATAAATGGCATGAGTACATGTGCTCACCAGTCTGAAGCCGACAGGAAGGTGAAATAAATGTGTGCGTGTATGCGTTGAGTGAAGCTGAGTGCCTGCCTCTCCTGTCTAAGTATTGCCTGATAACCCCGAGTGACCTGGGTAATGAGAAGTGGAACAGTGGCTTCCCAGCAGGCCTCTGGGCCCGCCTCAGCTAAAGCTCCTCCGCCGCTCAGCCTGCATTATGAAGCTTCCCTCCAGTGTACGCCCGCTAGCCAAACACACCGACAGACAGAAGAGCTTACATCTCAATTTTTAGAAAGTCTAAGGCTGTTTAGATCACATTGCTAAGAGGTAGCTGTAGCCTGCCAGCTTGCATCGTGTGATTGTGAAAGAAAAAACATACAACCAAATAAAAGAAATCCTTATCTATTGGAAAGTATAATAATTTGCATGTACACCCATGTTTTTTTTACTCTGTTAGATAGCTGCGTGTCATGAATTTTATCAGAACAACTCGTTGCTCAAAACAGCCAGCAGAACTGTGTAACATGCTTTATCTTTTCTTCACTATCTTTGTTTAGCTTTGCTAACATCACAATGTTATCTGTTGGTCATACTTACTTGACAACTACAGTAAAACACTCTTCAATTACAGCTAACAGTGTTAGCATGCTAAAATGCTAACGTCAAATGGTGAAAACATTAAACATTAGCATACCGATGCAAACATTGTATAGTGGTCTCACTTCTGGAAGCTAGTTTTAGCGTCCATTTTTAAAAGTGATTTTTAAATTCATTATCTCCATTGACTGTTTCTTATATCCTTATAAAAATACTGATATAAATTGTATAAACGCCCTGAAACAAGCTAACTAGCTACAAGGTGAATCATGATGATAATAAGATGTGACTGAAGTTTAATGTTGAAGGAACTACTTATCCCATAATGCATTACACATCCTAGATTGCACAGCAAATGGCTTCTATGTATGTATGTATGTATGTATCTAGAATTTAATCAATTTTTGTATTTTTGCATGATAATAATCGTTTGTCCCTGACTGCATTCCCCACTCTTGTGGTTTCTGAAGTTTGGCGCTAACTCAGTTACCTGACATTTGCAGGTTTAAGCACTTTTTGTTAGTACTACAGACATTCACCAATCAGAGATGTTTCAGTTTGGGATTGTTTGCAGAGTCGTTTGTTGAAGTGTTTCTCTTTAGACAAAGTTTGATATCATACAGGGTTGTGGTTTCTAAAGAAGTGCATGTCAGCATTTCTTGGTGCCAGAGCTCGTAGTAAGTCTTCTTTGCATGGTGCAGCATTATGGCTCATAATCAAAACCCTTATGGAAAACATAAATGGGATTTTTGCTTCTTCAGCAGGTAGTGTCCAATGTGGAGACCAGATAATCTTATTTTACTAAAGCTAAGAAAACTCAGATTAGCGACAGTAGTTGTTTACTTTCAGGGTTCCTGAAAAAGTATCAGGAAAGCCACCGCTTTACTTGTTTTGTCTCAACAGAAATCGTTAGGCCATCTGAGCCTTGGTGTAGCCTCGGAAATATGTAGCTCTAACAACACTTCAACCAAATTGCGTGAGATGCGTAGACTTGAGCGTTTTTTGGAGCTTAACCCACAATTGACACTAAAAATCATTATACTTTCTCTATAGTCTTTACTGCGACTGGATTTCATTAGTATGACTTTAGCGAGCCCACATATGCAGAACAACAGGCAGTATTAATTTGCTGGGATACTCATTTAATCCCTACAACTGAGCTAATAAGAAACATATTGTAAGTGGAAAAAAAAAGTCATGCTAGATAATTTTATTACCATAAGTCAAATAGTTTTCAGTCCTACCTAATATCATTATGGACTGGTATGATCTCTTTGTTGTCTTTTAAAGGAGGCTATGAAAGGAAAATCCTTGATAAGCAAACAATTTATGCGTTAGTGAAAAGTGTGAACAATATATTTTTTTAATTAACAAACGAAACTGTCACTTGATGTTTATGTGAGAGCAGCAGTATGTAGCCTGTCTCCCTTTGACAGAGCAGTTATGTAACATGCTTCATTGTCTTTGTGTGCTTTGTGATCCTGTATTGTTTATTTTTAATACTCAAACGGTTGTCTGACAGCAGAACAGAGAGAATAATTAAGCAGGTTTTAGTGCTGTGACTCCCCAGTGTTCGTGTGGATTTGTTGGAAACAGAAAACAGCGTTTGAGTCAGAGGTAACAGAAAATGGGCTCTTTAACATTACAGGCATTTGCTTCCTCCCACATCCACATCAAAGTGTCACGTAAGATTCTCTGAGAATGCTAACAGTAGAATAAATCCAGCAACCCCCCACCCCATTTGAACTTTTACTACTATAAACACTTTCCTTCTTCCTGTCAGTGGTGACATTTATTTTAACCTGAGGTAGATGGTGCATAGTTCTGTTTTCCCACTGTTAGCCAGTCATGGTAGCATGGTGCGTTAAAGTCATCGCAGGCCTCGGGGCGAGTAGCTAAGTTGATAATTCATAGTATTTGGCCTTATCAGCAAGAGATGGCCCTGTGCTGTGAGGGGGGGATGACACAGACTTAGTCATTTGTTAATTTTATGCCCCTGTGACTGCTGCGTTTCATGTTGTCTGCTCCGCAGAGACCTCTGGAAACTGTGAAGTCACAGTGAGCCCACCAGCCTTCAAACTGCAGCAGCTCTTTTCATGTAGGCTGAATTAATTTCAATTTTCGTATAAAAATCTTTCCTCAAATTCTACTCAGCGTTTACCCAGAAAAACTATTTAACTAAATTAAACACATAGCTGCACACAGAAAGCCACAAAAATGTCATGCTAGTGATAATCAACCTCACCCAGTTCTACTTTGGTGGAATTTAGTCAGCCTGCTGGATTAGAATCACATCAGGCTGAAGGTTTTCCATAGATGACAGGTGTCAACTCATCAGACGAAGCGGCACGCCGTTCATACCAAAGCAGTTGAGGGAGTGATACAGAAACAGCTAATTAGCAAACTAATTAACTGTACATACCTGAGAACTGGCTTTGGCAGCTTTGTTGATCTACAGTGAAAGTTGTCTGCCTGGTTCTTCCTCAGTGGACGTGAAGTTCTCACTTCAAGAGCTGCGGAAAAACGAGAGAAAAATGAAGTCGGGGAGAAAATGTGCATTGCAGATGAAGAGGAAAAAAAATCTCAATGTTTTGCTACAGTTTTGATAGTAACATTATGTTTGTACTACATTTTTCCTGCGTAGTTTCACATGGCGTGCACAGAGTGAAGTCTTCCTGTACACATGCTCTCTCTTACATGAATAATTAAGTAATTCAGTTCTTGAAATATTTTACTCGTACTTTGTCACAGATAAATAACAGCAATAAAGCCATCTGTCTCTGCAGTGAGTTGTACATCCTGTGGATAAACTCTGTAGTCTCTGTTCTGCTCTGCAGAATCTGTGACCTTAAGGTAGTGGCGCATAAACTCTCTGCCTGCTGCAAGTTCTGGTTAAAAAGACCTTCGTCTACCTACTATTGCCAGCTGCAGTATTATTCAATTCAGTTTTATTTATATAGCACCAAATCACAGCAGCAAATGCCTCAAGTTGCTTTATATTGTAAGGTAAATACCCTAAAATAATTAGGAAATAAACCCCAACAATAAGGCGACCCTCTAAGAGCAAGCACTTGGTGAAATGGGAAGGAAAAACTCCCTTTTAACAGGAAGGAAGCTCCAGCAGAAGCAGGGGGTGGGAGGGCAGCCATCTGCTGGGACTGGCTGGGTGACGGGAGAAAGACAGGACAAAAACACACTGTGGAAGACAGCCAGAGATTATTAATAACTAATGATTAAATGCAGAGTGGTGTGTAAGCACAAAGTGAGTGGAGAATAAACACTCAGTGCATCATGGGAATCCTCAGCAGCCTAGGCCTATGACAGCATAACTAAGGGACCGATGGAGAAAACATGAGATCATCTGTAGGCAGCCATTAATATACCTGATCAGTACATGCTAATTTTTGTGACAAAGGTAGCAAGAATAATTAGCTAAAGGAACAACAGGCCCTCTCTGAGGAAGTATAAAAGAATATAAAATTTATCATATAATGCTTAAAATAGAGCCACATATAAATAATTTCATGCTACAAATGATAAAAAAAAAAGCACAAGTCCTGTTAAAAAGATGTGTAAGAATCAAGGACATGTTTCTTTTCTCTGTCACAGCTGTCCCATTCAAGTAGATGAGATAACTTTGGCCAAAATAGGTATTTTTTTTAAGCGAAAAAGCTTCCTTTTGAATACTTCTGATTATTTTAATATCTGCTTAATCTCAAAGGCACCAGATTTTGATTAGTTACAAATATCTGTGAACTCACGGGGATTCGTTTACAAAAGAAAATGAGTGGTTTTCTAACAGCTGAATCCTTTTTGGCTTCAGCGGTGGTTATTTTCCCCGCGTGAATCATCAATTTGTGGTTATATTTCCTGCGTTTTTCTCCACCACCTTATGGGGTCAGCGGGGGATTGCGTGAGCTTGTGTAGTAAAAATTTATTTGTGCAGTTGACTGCACAGCAGTTCCTCTGCAAAGGCACCTGTTCCCTGTGAAGGACACAAAAACCAGGATAGGAGAAGGAGAAATGGTAGCGCTAAAGGACCCATCTGTTGCTCATTCAGCAGCAAGGACAGGTGGCTCTGAACTGTTTATAAAGACTTTAATTAATGATTCTCTGCCTTTCTCTCCCTCCGTTGCCTCCTTTCTGTTTTTTTTTATCTTCGTCTCTCCTTCCTTTAGATTCAGAGACGACAAGGGCTACGTTCTGTACCCTCAGATCGGGGACCGGCTGGACCTCATCTGCCCTCCTCTGGACACCGCCAGGTCCACGCCGGAGTACGAGTTCTACAAGCTCTACCTCGTGTCGACGCGGGAGCAGGCGGACCGCTGCGAAGTGATGGGACCCCCCAACATCGTGCTCACTTGCGACGAGCCCACCCGCGAACGCCGCTTCACCATCAAGTTCCAGGAGTTCTCGCCCAACCTCTGGGGCCACGAGTTCAAGAGCATGCAAGACTACTACATCATCGGTGAGTGGAGGACCCTGACCAAACGCTGGGTCGATGTGTGTATGTGCGCTTACGGGCGTGTTTGTTGAGCCTTATTTGCAGTGTGCGGTTGGTGTCGGTTGGAGGGCGGGGGGTTGTTATGATTGCATGGTTGATTTCTGATTGTGCCTGAGTGTGTTTGTTTATTTCAGAGATGATAGCGCTGATTGGGCGGGTGTGTTTACAATAATTAGGTTTGAGAATTGCGTGTGATCCAGCCCACAGGCGGAGATACAGTACAGGACATGCACTGCACTAAAAAACAAGAAACACAACAAAACAAAACATTCATGACATTTGAGGGTTTTTTCCCCCCAAATGAAGTAAGATGTAGATTTTTTCACTAACTATTTACTCACCTAAAGTTTCACCTCTGTGGGATTACCACGCTTCAAATGCAATCTGTGTTTTCTTGTCTCTTCTTGCAGTATCTCTAGATGTGCTGCATGTGTGGGATTTTGTGTTTAGCAGTTAGATTCGTATCGAGATGCTGTCGGTCGTTGCGAAGCCCTCTTTGTCCCACAGCGCCGGGCTCGGGCCTGTTTATTGTTACTGCCAGCCTTAGACGGTGACCACAGATGGTGAGGCGCAGTTTGTTTTGGTTTGTTCAAAAGGCTTGTTTGGAGTTTAGCCGTGCGGATGACCCGATGAGGTCACCGAGGCGAGCGAGGCCAGGTGTCTGTATCGGACGGAACGATCGGCGGGTAAAGTTTGCGTCAACTGAAACATGTGGGTTGTTTTTAAATGCGGACCTGGGGCCAACTGGAGCAATGCACGCAACACATAGGGATCACACTCAAGTGCATGTATACACACACGCCCACGAGTTTCTAGTACAAACACAGGCGCTGTAAAAACACCTCGGGAGTGAGACAGCGAGCAGGATAGACAAAGAAAGAGAGAGCGAGAGACCCTGATTCCCATAGCTCCCCTCCCACGCACCTGCGAGGTCTATTCACTCAGGTGTGCAAATGCTCTTTTCATTTCTTTTCGTCTGCCGGTGGAAAATAAAAACCTAAAAACGACAGAAAGAGAGCTAGGAGGAGGAGGAAGCTGGGACAGAGCTAGAAAGGCAGACAGACAGAGAGAGAGAGAGAGTACAGAAGAGACAAAGAGAATGTAAGATTTTTCCAAGTCTGTGAAGTCCCTTGTGCCTTTTGGTGTTCCATATTTGTTCACCTGTTTCAGGTGTGCTCGGTTTTTTACTATCAGTCCACAAAAGTGGCGTGTTTGTGAAGAGAGGCGAGGCTCTGGGCACATTTCTCCTTTACCCTGCGTCGATATCAGCTCACAAGTGTCTCTCTCTGATTAGATGTGAGTGAGCGAGATAGCGTGTCGTGGTGCAGTAAACCGTCGTGTACTGTATGTACTGTAGGGACGTGTGTATTGGCGTATGTGCGCCCAGAATCTCGCCCTAATAAGTAGGGAGGAAAATGAATGCAAGCCTCACTTCCTGGTAGATGAATTAGTAACGGACTCAATATTGAGAGGACCCGAGCAGCCATCGAGTATCACAGGAATGTTGTCCTGTGGTTTCAGTAATCCGGTTTTGAAGCCTTGAGTTTGGTATTCCGACTCGCAGCATCTTTGTTTTTGTAGCTACAAGCGACCATATTTGTATAAGAAGGCGCACGCTAAGTTATTAGCTAACCTTAGAAAGCTTTAATAGGAAAAACACAATTCAAAAACTGTATTGCTTAGACATAGATACCTGCTAATTAGTTCCAAGTAACAAACAAATACAACAGTAGAACGTTACTAATGGCACAAATGTAGATAAAGAAATCAAATGCAGTAACTAGTAGACAGATACTGATATATCCACCTGATAGTCAAAGTAAGCATGTCCTATGTGATACATAACTTTACAAGGGGGCACGCCTTTTATAATTCAATTTAAGCAGATAAGTCGTATAAATAAATCTCCTCTCGCTGTTGTCCTGAAGGGGGTTTATTTATAGAGACTAAAGTCAGGCTGCAAACTGTTTTCTCACAGAAAGTTGGAAATTTTAACATGAAAATCTAAGAGATTGACTCTCTGTTGCAGACTGCCACAAGTGGTCTTTAGAGGAACTGTAGTTTTAATTATGTTTCATTTTTTAATAGAAATGTAGACAAAACATGACCTGAAATGTGTTCCCATTTTCATGTCTTTCTATCTTGACTGTTCCCTGTCATACTTACACGACTGAACAGTTAAAGATGTCGAACACGCCCAGTTCCCTCCACGTAAGAAGAGTCAAAGTAGAATTTAGTTGTTGCCATGAAACATTTTGCGGGGCCGCGTAGGTGTAGGGTTCACATCTTTTCCTCCGACCTTTTATTTCGCTCCCCCTCTCTTCTGTACCCCAACCTGACAACCAGGTGTCCAGAGATAGAAACACCTTTATCTCCACTCACAGCCCAGACTGATCGATTGACAGCTCCAGCCCGATCGATGACGGCTGCAGCACAAGGTCACGCGCGCACTCTCGCTCTCATACGCACACGCAGAGGTTTACTCCCAGATTTGTAGAGAGACTCGGATAGGTGAGGGGGAGTATCCGATTGTAGAGAGCATTCGGTCCTGATAACTTATTGACGACATCGAGAGATCGCTTGTGTTTAGTGAGCAACCGGGCTTTGATCATGTGTCCTTAATGAAGAATCGCACCGAGTCTCTTACCAGAGCTTGTGTGTACTTAATGAGGTTGTGAGATAATTAATAACTGCTAATCCTGCTGCTAATTTAGTGCCACATATCTGCTGTCGCCTGTGTGCTAACCCTATAGGGAGGATATTGCACACGCTGAACACAGCGTGAACTATGGCTTGTCCCTGAATTTAGTTAAATGTATGTTTGCGGGCGTGTGTAAAGGCACCGATGTATGCAGAAGCCTCAGGGAAATCTGGTTTTAATTAACCTATAGCATAGTGTGATTTAATTTGCACACTGCAGACTGGGCACAAGCGAAAAGCATATGCGTGGTAATGCGGAGTTGCTGGCTGGTGGAACAGCAGGAGGAAACTCGGCAGTAGAGGTTAATTTAAAGTTAAACCTATTACAGATTACCTGTAACTTGCTTAAAGCCCACTGGGTGATTAGTTTCCCCTGCAGTTTGGCTCTCGAGTAAACACGCGGTAAATCAAAGCAGAAGCTCCGTGATTTGATTTTCACATTGCAGTCGTCGACAAGTGCCGTCACTGATCATCGCACGGGAAAATAACCCTTACGCGTCGACGAAAATCTCACAAGGAATCTGGAAAAAGGGGAAACTTGTTTTTGCAGTGTCTAACGCGTCACAGATGCTGCTGCTTTGTAATCAAATTACTTGAATCCTATTAAATGTTATTCTTCACTTCCGTATCCTGGGGAGACGAGCGAAGCAGCGGGGAAATTGATTTGTCATACTTATTGATTGATGTTTGCATTCATAACATGAGGTCAGAGTTTATGTAAGCCCATTTCTCTGTCACGCTCTCCCGTCTTGTGTTTTGCCGCTTGCTTGTCTTCTCCACCGTTTTAGTTTTTTTTTAACCCCTTTTACAAACAAACACACACACACACACACACACACGCACGCACGCACACACGCACGCACACACACACACACACACACACTCAGTGCATCAACCCCAGACTGCAGATCAAGCCTTTCTCTGCTTTTAATGAATCCTTTGAAATCAGGCGCCAAAGCCTTGTGTAACGCACACTTTATGCATGCATGCATGAGCAGACATAGAAAGTCTGCACAGTTAAAGTGCGGTCTGGATGACGTGTATCCTAATGAGAACTTCAGGAGGAAGCCATCTCCACACAGCTTATTGGATTTACAACTAAAAAGACACTTTAGGGAAATTATTACGAAACTTCCTTTTTTTTCACTTCACTCTGGCGAACCCAAGTTATGTTAATTGTTCCTCTTTTGTTTATCTGCTTTTGGACTTTTGTGTTTAAAAAAAATAAATCAACGTGCTCTCCAGACCGGTTGCTGTGCCTTGCTGGATAATCCACAGACCTCACTATGAACTGCTTTTATCTGAAGGGACAGTCCCAATAAAATCTGAGGACAGTGTGTATTATGGATTAGCCAGAGCTTTTTGTAATTTTGGCGAACATATCCTTAAGCACCCAGTTTCTTACAGATTAATTCAAAGTGACAAAGGTGCACGCTGTATTATCTTGGGAGTGTTTGTTTACAGATAAGCCTTATGCGATATTGAAATGCATTTGCAGAAGAAGGACGAGGACAGAAAATGATCATGGGCTGTATATCAAAGAAGGATAAGCCCGATGCTTTGACCTGTTGGTTTTTGACCTTGAGAACGTTTAAGCTTCTGGTTTAGCTCCATTTTCTGGAACCAGAAGTCACAATGAGATCGGATTATTGAGTGGATCGTCAATCCATCAGCTAATGCTAGCAAATATTATGTGACTTAGATCTCAGATCAGTGGAGGTAAAGCTCCCTCTGTCTTGGTACACCTCTCTATCGACTTTAAACCTTAACAAAATTCAAAAGGATTAATTATTTAAAAATTGATTCAATCAATCAACCAACCAACCAACCAACCCCAGTGAGTTTCTTTTGTATCAGGCTGTAAACATAGAAGTCTTTGAGGACTCACTCACCTCTAGAGGAAGCCTTAAGTGGTCACTGGAAGAAATGCAGTTTTTGGTATGTCTGCATTAGCTGTATTTCTAATCTGAGGTTGGTACTTGTCAAAAATGTTCACTTTCAAAACTTGTACGTTGATCTCACTTAAATGTGCTTTCCTGTAATTCTTTATTGTGTTGTAATTCAATATGGCCCTGGTCCTGGGACCTCACACATAAATTTAAAGCCAGAGGCGAGGACAGCCACAGTGAGATCAAAAAATAGAACAGAGCAGGCATCAGCCACAGCAGACCAGCGTGAAAGAAGAGGCTGAGGCTGAAGTGGATTGCAAAGCAGCTTGCAGCACGAAAAATGACATCACCAGTATGAAATTTGCCAACTCGATC